AACATCCCAACTGTGAAGTATAGGGGCGGCAGCATCATGTTGTGGGGCTGTTTTGCTGCAGGAGGAACTGGTCTATTTCACAGCATAGATAGCATCATAAAGAAAGAACATTATGTATTAATACTGTAGCAACATCTCAAGACATCAGCCAGGAAATTAAAACTTGACCACAAATGGGTCTTCCAAACAGAAAGATCCAAACTTGTGGAAAGATAACCAAAACATTTGACCAAAGTTATACCGTTTAAAAGCAAATCTAAAAAAATACCAAGGAAATGGATGCAAACTTTTGACTGTCTAGAAATTAACAAAAAAATTTTTTTTAAATTCTCTCATTATTCTGGGATTAAGCAAATGTTAATCATTTAGGTATTCCTAACAGACCTAAAATATTAAATATTTAGTATTCCTTTTTTTAGAGTGTACTGTATGCTTTAACAGTCAATTCGGTTCAATTCAATTTAATTAAATTTAAGTCAATTAAAATCAATTCATCTTTATTTCTATAACCCTTTTACAATGTAGATTGCGTCAAAACAGCTTAACATAGAAGATCTGGTAAATTGAAAATACTTCATTCCAGAGTTAAAATTCAGTCTACTACAGTGTAATATAATAATGACTGCTGAAAACCCAAAAAATGAAGAGCAAATCCAACAATGTGCAGCTTCACAAGTCCCAAACCAAGCATGCCAATGGTGAGAAACCAACTTCAACATGCATCTCACACTTTCATTTTCACATGAAAGCATCTCCTACTTTAGTGCTCACTAGGGGTTGCACCGACTAGCTTGCTGATCGACTAATCGATTCTAATGCTCTGCTGTGATGCTTTTTAATTGATGCTTTTTAATCGCAGATCACATGTTTTTTTGACCTGAACTACATGGCAGCTTTCCACACAAAGGTGGTTCATTGAATGAAACTGCCCTCAGATTCATTCATTCATTTTATTTTGTCCTTTATTAATCAGGGGTCGCCACAGCGGAATGAACCTATAACTTGTCCAGCATATCTTTTACGCAGTGGATGCCCTTCCAGCTGCAACCCATCACTGGGAAACACTTACACTCTCATTCACACACATTTGGACAATTTAGCTTATCCAATTCACCTATACCACATGTCTTTGGACTGTGGGGGAAACCGGAGCACCCAAAGGAAACCCTGAACATGCAAACTCCACACAGAAATGCCAACTGACCCAGCCGAGGCTCGAACCAACGACCTTCATGCTGTAAGGTGACAGCGCTACCCATTGCGCCACCACGCCATCTGTCCTCTGATTATTTAAAATAATTTGTAAAATGTTATTTTTCCTATGTCAGCATCAAAGATTCACGTGAACTTTAAGTGAACTTTAAATGGTCAAATAGATGCAATCATGCCAGTCAGATCGCTCCATGCAAACACCCTAGAGGGCATATACTATCCAATCATGTTAACGCAACCCAGGAAAAGTAATGTTATTCCTATAAGCCTTTTTCTTTCTTGCCTCATGTTATGAATAACTTCACATGAATCTGTGTGCTGAGGATTGAGTATTGTTACATTCTTACTAGCAAGTGCAGTGATTAATGTCTTTAAAAACTGCATTTATTTAGCAGATAAATTAGCCCAGACACTAATGTTGAAATATTAATGAAATGAAAGAGTTGACAATGCATTTGTTCTGCAGTAAAATCAGTAATGTTGTAATGTTGCAATAATTTGCAACTTGTTATAAGCTGACAAACAGCATGTGTATATGTTTCCTACAAATAATTTGCAGATTGTGGCATGTTGCAAAACATTTGGATCTTGTGTTTTATTGATAACATCTTCAGCGACTAGTCGACATCGACTCGACATAAAACTCGACTTCCAAAAATCTAAAGTTGTTCAACCCCTAGTGCTCACTGATGGGACATTTACTCATGGGTAGCCATGTTTCTGAGCATGGACATGCAAGATGCACAGAGCCAATTAAAATGTAATTTAATTAATGAGGGAAAAGCAAAATGCTGTAAAATAATGTCTAATGAGCATTACAAAGTCGATAATGACATATAATTATAAATATGATAAAATGATCAAGTAAATGTAGGCTATCTAGTTCAGTGTTTCCCAACCCTGTTCCTGAAGGCAAACTAACAATACACATTTTCAACCTCTTCCTTCTTAAACACGGTCACACTTTTCTTTTATAGTCCGTTTGTTGAATTTAAATTCCATTGCATCCACATGCCAACTATTTCTCATTAGATTATAAATAGACTGTTAGGATGGGGTTAGGGTTGAAATTAGGTTTAGTGTAAGTTGACATGTACTTGCAAAACTTCTTATACTGCTCCTTCAACAGACATTTAACTGACTATAAGCAGATATCAAGCAAACATTCTACTAATACTCAAATGGACCATCAAAATAAAGTGTTATCTTAACTCATCAGAACATTAAAAGAGATTCCAAAACCTTAACTGGTCAGATAAGGGGGATATCTAAAATATGTACTGTTAGTGTGCCTCCAGAAACAGGTTTGGGAAACATTGATCTAGTTGATAAATTTGCCTTAAGATTTTTGACTAAAAGCAAGACGGCTGTATTTCAGAAATGCACTGCTACCTAAATGTATTTAATATAGCGCTATAAATTCAATAAAATAATGTATAGAAGTAAAGGTAAATATATTGACTATTTAAGAAATGAAATGACAAACAGAAGAGAAGAGATAATATGCCAAAAAGAAACAAAATGTAAATGTATTTATAAAATTTAACAAATTAATTTTAGCTGAAGGTCATTCAGATAGCTTTTATAATCAATTTTTAATGCACATATAAAAAAGCATCTGCGTATCTAAAGCATTTCCCGAATCAAATCTGGATTTATTCTGCCACGTAAGCAGCTAAAAAATTAAAAATTTATTTATGTTGAACCTAAACTTTCTTAAACTTCAACACATCACAAAACAATGCAGGTTTCTTGACAGGAAAACAAATGCACTTCTCCTAAGTTAAAGCATTACTGTGAAGCTTTACAAACCCTTTCTGAAGGACTGCTTGCATGCAGGCAAACAAAAGAATGTTCTGCTTACAAGGGAAATTCACCATTTTACCTCCATCAGAATACAGCATTAGCATGTACAAGAGAATTAATCATTAATTAGTCAAGACGGTAAGATGAAGAATGATTTAATGCAGTATTATTATAGTTCTTATTTTTAAAAATCATTCAGTTACATGAACAAGTCATCACCATTGTAATTTGAAGTTAACTTTGCTGATGGCTGTCGATACACTGGAAGTCTTCTAAATTAAAATTATCCAAAAACATTTTCAAATAGGCACTTTTTTTAATTAACTACATATTTGCGATCTAAACAACTACATCCTCATCTAAAAAGTCTCAAAAGTACATTATGTAGTCCTACAACAACAGTATTTGTGAAACTATAATAAGTTTAGTGTTTTGCTCCACACTTGTTGAAAGCAGAGTGATACATATGGGTGAAGAGGATGAAACAGTGCTGATACCAGTAGCATATTGCACAGCTATCAAGCCAATCAGAATCAAGAGTCAGACAGAACTGTTGCATGAATACATATTTACATACTTTCTTTTTCTTATTTTTTTATTGCGTATGTGCATTCGACAGAATAAATAATCATCCTTCTATTTTTCCCATCTTGGTCACTTGGTTGGATACAAATTTCACATGTGTTCACGTATGGAGTTCAGGCCAAGAAAAGAACCCTCAGGCAGGCAACCTAGATAAACATCCCAAGCTACATTTTCCACTGAGTGAAAAGCTGTAAGACACATTGTGACATTTTTTTCTTAAGTAGACAGTTTGTATGCCTTTGATTTTAATGTATCAGATCACTTACATGTATCAGATTTAAACCATGTATTACGTTGCTGTTCCTAACACAGTTACAGGCTATAGCTGGCCTTCTGTTTACTCGCCAGAGCCAATTTTTCTCACTTTTGTCAAATGCTTATTGTTATTTCAGGAGGCTGCAAAATCTTATAATACAAAATTATAAAGAATGGTAAAACTACACAAGTCTAACTTTATTGACTGTATTATTTAAATTGGTATGTTAAGGGTAGTTTTAATCACTTTCATGACACTGATAAAGAAATGTTACACCAAGACACATCAGCAAACTATTGACTCCAGGGTAAGCTTATTGATGTTTTAAAAGCAAGTTTGAGGTTAAGAGGTTGCTTTTTATTGTATAAGACAACCGGGTAACTTTCATTACAATTAATTAATAAATTATTAGCGAAAGAGTCATTGAAAAATGTTAGAAAGATCTGTTTGCTGTGCATCCCACTATAAGACTAAAGTTTAGCAGGAGGAAACTACTGTTAAAACACCTAAACACAATTTCCTATATTCATACTCATTTAAGCATCGAACCATGATGATACAAGTATAAAAGTATGAGATTGTCAACTAGCCTACTGTTAAACAATTTAGCATCTTTGTTACCAAGCTTAACATATCTGCCACAGCACCTTACAAGGACAACAAAACCATGCTTGCGTTCATTTAAAATGTCTAAAACCAGGGGGGAAACAGCCAACAGACATTCAGATGGACAGCTGGAAAGGTCACTCGTAATTTCATTAAACACCGAGTTACAATGGAAAACGCAGTATCTAAGTTAGTCTACGTGTCGTTAAAGATAATCAGCCCTAATAAATAAATAAATAAATAAATAATAATAAAGCAACATAACATACAATTAGCATTTGACTGCTGTAAGATGAAGGGAGCAATATTATTCTCAGTTACCATCCAGGCTACTAATCCACACGATTCCCCGAGTTAAAGCCTAGAACAAAATTGTGATAATGCAGAAATCACCTAACTTGTGTGGCGAAGCATAACGTTAGCTGTTACAGCAGCAGCCCAGTACAGGCAGCTGCTGTGTCTTATGTCTCCTCTTTTCAAATGCGTGTGCGCGGCTGCAGATGCGATCTCCTCCATCTACTGATCAATAACTTACTTTTCTCGGGCTTGACTGTCCGACGGCACGCTGCTCTTGCCTTTGGCGTACATGCTGGCACAGAAGCGACTGTCCCGCACCTGTCAACCCATCACAACCTCCGGCGAAACAATCTCGTCACCATAGCGACTCATATAGCTCCACACCATTGGACGGACCGCGGTGAAAACAGTACACTCTCTCTCTCTCTCTCTCTCTCTCTCTCTCTCTCTCTCTCTCTCTCTCTCTCTCTCCGTTATCTGACTGAGCAAAGAAACATAGGTGGCCACGCCCACTCAACACCTTTCAATACATGTATCTGCAGCCACGCCCTCTACAATTCAGTGGGTTCAAAAGAATGGCCCTGATCAAAAAAAAAAAAAAAAAAAAAAAATTCAACAATTACAAATTTGGTTTTATTCGGTTTTAGTGGAACTGTAATAAACATATGAACCTCTAATTGCTATATGTGGCATGCTAAAACCTTGAAAAAACTGATTAAAGACCCTTAAAATGCACGTGGGTTCTGATGTTAAAAATGGTTTGGTTTGTAATGGTTTCTAATGATGTTTGTAGTGTAAACTGTTACCATTTCTGTTATGTTAAAATATCTATGGTTTAAGCAGGGGTGAAGAAGATATAACGTAACATTTCAGCCTCACAAACACTTAAATATCTTTAATACTTTTAAGTTACTAATGTCAAAATGTCCTTTGCCTTTGTCAACAAAAAGGTAAAAGGTAAAGGAACTTAATGTTTGCTGAAAAAATAAAAAATAAAAATAATAATAAATAAAAAAAATAATGTTTGCAGAGCAGTGGTCCCCCTGCCCGCAGGATTGGATCTGGTTTAAATTAATCGTGCTGCCATCTAGTGGACAATATCAATTCAAAAAAAAAAAAAAAAAATATATATATATATATATATATATATATATATATATATAGACTTTATCTTTTGAACAAGGAATAACAAATAAAAGTAAATGGTAAATGGTTATGATAAAAGATTAAAAGTAAAAAAAAATACAATAATAGACACGTTTGCAATATCAAGCATAACAAGCTCTTTTATACAGTTAAAGAAAAATCAAGACGTGAACGAGACTGGATGTTTTGGAAGTTAAACCAAAAACAAAACAGAAAAACAAATCAAAAAACGTTAATAAAAACAGAAAAAAAATTATTTATTACGTAGAAAATATGCCAGAGTGTACAGATAAAGAAGAATAAATAAAAAATATATATCATAAAAAAGTCTTATTTGCTCTTTTTTAAACAATGTTCTCCAAACTGTTTTAGTAACTTTTAAGTAATTGAATTAAATATTTTCTTGGATCTTTTCTTATTAATGTGAAATTTGTCTAAAATAGATCAAATGTACAAACAATGCAAAATGAGTAGCTCATAAGGAAATAATGCATAAAACAATTTCCAGTGTATAAATATAGTCACCTTGGAATTTTAAGGGTCTATCTGCATTCTGAGTGATTTTGAGATAATTAATGAGCTTCAAAGTTGTTGTATTCCACAGCAAACAGTATGTGTGTAACATTTGTTTTTTAAATAAAAGTCTTAAAATGAAAACAACTAAAAAAAAATCCCATAATGTAAATAAGATGTCTTTTAATAAGAATGTCAATAACTCAATTTTGACAAAAAAGTCATATAGAACCTTATAACTGGTGACGATATTTTCTAAATATGATTTTAAGCTTTTACATGTAGCCATATCACCTGTTATAATATTTTTTATATATTTATTTCCTTAATGATTTCCAAGTGTCTTTAAAAAAGCTACCTTTAACATATATTTTCTCTGAAGAATTACTTCTATATGCTCTATAGGTTAGATATGGCAAGAACAAATACAGTATTGGATACAGTTATCATACTCCTTTGGAGTAATTGAAAAAGTAAAAACTAATTTATCTAAAACATTTTAACTGTAAATAGGTTATTTAATTATAGAAGTTTTTCAACTAACACAATATAATTTTCATTCCAACTTTTGAAGAAGAGAGATTTGTTCTTATATACCTATTATTCCAAATAACTACACATTTTATTACAAAGTCTGTGAAGCATCTCTTTTGTAACATTACAGCACATCTGTCCACGCACCTTTGCTGCGCTGAGGGGTTATGACTTCATTAATCCAGACGTATTATTTTTGTAGTCTCCAAACTTCGTTTGCTGTAGGCTTTGCTAAGCTAACTTTGTAAAAGCCAATGTCTCCCTTTGCATTAAACTTTGAGGGTCTTACATTCAGAGATGTTGTTTATGTTATGTTCACACATCTACATTACACATCAACTTAAGTTTTAAATATGATATCGCAGTGGACCACCCCTTTAAACGGAGTGTATTGCTTTGTGTTGCCTACTGCAGGTAGGTAGTGCTGTCGCCTTGCAGCAAGAAAGTTGCTGGTTCGAGCCTCGGCTGGATCAGTTGGAATATTCTGTGTGGAGTTTGCATGTTCTCCCCATGTTTGCGTGGGTTTCCTCCGGGTGCTCCAGTTTCCCCTACAAGTCCAAAGACATGTGGCACAGGTGAATTGGGTAGGCTAAATTGTCCTTAGTGTGTGTGTGTGTGTGTGTGTGTGTGTGTGTGTGTGTGTGAATGAGAGTGTATGGGTGTTTCCCAGTGATGGGTTACAGCTGGAAGTGCATCCGCTGTGTAAAACATGTACTGGATAAATTGGCGGTTCATTCGGCTGTGGTGACCCCAGATTAATAATGGGACTAAGTTGAAAAGTAAATGAATGAATGACTGAATGCTTACTGCAGATGAAGTTGGTGTGTACTTTATTTGTCAAATTATTATTTTTGTTATTTTTGTGTCCTGAAGAATAATTAAATAAAACTGTGGCTGTTTTTTCTGTGGTTGTTTACAGTGGGCAGCTAATTTACTAAGCGATTCATATTATTCACATTTTATTGCTCAGTTCTCTGCCATTTTTTCTAAATAGGTATTTCATTTGTGGACATAAAACATCCGTGTCAATTTATTATTAATTTTAAATTAAATAAAACAACAATGTTTCATGTGAATGATCAAACAAAATTATTATAAAAATGTATAGTTGCACAAATATTACCAATAAGGCAGCATTTAAATTTAGTATTAGATTATGATATTATTTCTAACATTATTAATTAAAAGGTAATTAAATCCACCCAGTAGGTGGCAGTAGGACACGGTCTTAATCAATGACTGGTCTTAATTTATTCAAATGGGGGAATTCAATAAAACAAATAGATCAGTAAATAATAAATGTCGAAACTCATTGCATTTATTGACGACATACTGACCAGGTATATGTAAAGATTTAATAAAGATTTTCACTCATGCTGGAACATGTAACAACTGATAATATCAAGTTATGTTCAAAGCAGCAAAGTAAAAATAAATATATTATTGATTAAATGAAATAAAAGTTAATTAAATAAACCTAAATGATAAGTGAAAAGGTTGTAAACATATACTTTCCTTGATAAACAAACAGCTTATTCCTATTCTTAAAAACTTAAAATATATATTTATATATATATATATATATATATATATTTATTTATTTATTTATTTATTTATTTATTTTTTTTTACTCAGAAAGCACTTCAGTATTGCAAAAGAAACATTTGGACACATGCCCAATACTGTAATGGTCTTAAAGCACAACCTGCAATGTTTTCAGTTGTAAATTTTACAGACTGTCAGTGACAGTGTAGCCTACTACGCCACACCCACAGCTGGAAGTGCTTTACTTGCGGACTGTTTCCTGTGCATCGCTACAAAGCATTCCATTCACTTTAGATAGACGACAGAAACTGGCATAAGGAGGCACGATGTCGCTCACTGTGAAAAACATTTCTGTCATTTACAATCCTATCAATCAGAACAATACTTTCACCAGCGGGGATTATATATCTGGAAAAGTCATTCTGGAAGTGGTAAAAGACACTCAAATGCAGTCGCTGAGTGTGAAAATTAAAGGCAAAGCAAATGTTTGCTGGTCAGAGCGACACGGTAAAACCACTGTTCTTTATTCGGATAAAGAGAAGTTTTATTCGGTGGAGAGGTTTTTCGTTCAGACCGACACAAAACATGGTAGGTGTCTGCTCGACTACTTTAGTTTTTGCAACATGAAGCCGAGTCGATTTATGTAACCAGCTTTACCCTGTGCTTGTAACTTGATCTTTTTAGCAAATGACCATGAAATGCTGAAAGATCCATCCGGGCAGCCTTGTAAGTCTTTTTTCCCTTCTTTTTCAAATGAATATTGCAGATAAATAATAAAAAAAATAAACTTTGAAAAAAATAAATATGCACATTTTAACTTTTTTTACTTTGTTTTTGATTTGTTAGACTCTTCGGTGGTGGCACCAGGGCGTCATGTTTACCCTTTCACCTTTCAGTTGCCCTTACAGTAAGTCTTTTAAGAAGACCAAATACATGATTAAATTTATAGATTAATAAAAAATCTGTGTTTGTATTCATGTTGTGTTCAGATTTGCAGAGATTGAAATGAGTAAAATAAATACATAAATTAATTAATTAATTAAATTATTAATTTAGAAGTGCTGAGTAAGGATTTTTCTTTCACATTGAACTTGGGTAAACCTTCTTAACTAAACCATCTGTCATATTTATTCATACTATTATAGCTAATATTTATTATTTTATATTTCTAAGCTGTATTTTTAAAGAATTCTAACAAGTGAGACTTTCATGCTGTTCAATCTACAGACACTTTCCTTCAACCTACAAGGGTTCAGTTGGAAAAGTTCTCTACACTTTGGAGACAAAACTATCCAGATCAATGCGTGTGTCTAGCAAAGCCAAAGCAGAGTTTAACTATGTTCCCTGTCCTGTTGTTACCAATCCTGAACTAATGGTAAGACTACGACTAAAATGCCATGTGGTGTCTGACTTTCTAATCTACAGTATACCATACATTCCCCTCTGTCTAGCTGAGCATCAGTTGCCTAAGAAGTATTATGTTTATACCTGTTTAGGCTCCTCAGTATGGAACCAAAGATAAACAAATGTCGTTCTTCACCTCTGGGAGTGTCTCCATGAACATAAGCACAGAGAAAATGGCATACCATCTTGGTAAAATTATATTTTAATGTTTGTTTTAGTTTGTGTTTGTTGTCAGTCAGTTCAAAGTAGATATGGACACTTTTCACAAAGCTATTCAAGCGTTTGAATTTTTTTTCTAATTTTACCCATATTTGAAATAAGATAAAACTGATGTTTGAAATGCATGTAAAACTGTAGACATGAAACTTATTCAAGTTTGAGCTACATGCTTTGTCAGCAGTCTTGTGTGGAAAGGATTAAGATGTTGAATGTGATCTTTTCAGGCAGTGTGCTTCTCTTTTAGCTACACATTTCACGTTTGAAGTCAACCAGAAAGCCCCCTCCTACCACCACCCCACTCACAACTTGCACAGCTGGTTTATAGCTCGTTTAAACTTCTCGGTTTAAGTAATCCACCATAGACTTGTGGCAAAATGTATTTACAGAGATTAAATTACATGAATGCATATCAACACCGTTTTATTTCATCAATTAGGACATATTTCTGGTCCTGAAGCAACATTCCAATCAGATCTTAGGCACTAGTTTGTAATTTATGTCAAGTTTAGGCTTAAAGTTAGGGTTATTTTTCTATACATTTTTAATCCATTTATTACCCTGTAGGAAGGGGTTTTAACCAAAGTTATCAGTATGATAGTAAAAATCTGTACATTTCTAGTCTAACCAATATTTTGCAATCTTATACCAAAAACGGAAATAAGGGAAGTATTAATAGCTTAAAATGTGGGAGAGCGTTGATATTATGCGATTGTATTGTATTGCAATATGGAACAATTATATGTTGATGTTAAATCAAAAATAATTCACAAATACTTGAAAATGAGATGATTTTATGACAATAATTCTCTATGGTTACAACTGAATTAATTACAAATAACTGTATGAAATGAAAAACATATGATATAAACTGTACCCAGCTTAAATGTTAAATTTCAAGTTACCAGAGGTCGAAGAAGAGATACAGGGGGAGGGAGGGAGAGAGAGAGAGACAAAGAGAGCAGGCCCAGAAGTTAGCCTGATTACAGTAGAGTCAAAGAAGATAGCCTCCAGAGGAGGAGAGGAGCAAGGCAGGAAATCGCAGAGACAGAAAAAGAGAGGCCAGGAAAAAATACGGAGCAGAGTTGTACACATATTTTGTATCTTTTATATATTTTGAATGGCCCAAATGTTGAGCCATTCAAACTGACTAATCAACATGTGACCACATCGTAAAACCCCCTAAGTCCACATACCAGGCCCTGATCTTATCAGTATCTGCCTTTGGAGTCAGTATGGACCTTCTTGAGTCAGAAAGGCATGTTTTTTCATACAAACAAATGCATATGATAATTAAGCCTCTTACAACCCCCTCTGGTTTTAGAAATAGTTTACAGTTGGGGTTAAGTTTAGGCGGAGGGAATAAGTGTGGATTACATTTTCTCACAGAATTGATGTTCCATTAACACAAGCTAATCAAGGATCGCATCCACCAAAAACAGTTTACAGAACAGTCTTGATTTTTATAGCTTACTGTACGTAATTCTGAATAACTGAATGACAATTTTGTCAAAATGTCAGGCAGAAACAGTTTCCAGTGATATTTTATGTATTTATCATAAGTAATGATCTAATGACCTAATTGTTGTGTCTTTCTCTAGGAGAGGGCTTAAAATTTTTGGCTGAAGTTCAAAACAATTCCTCTCGTGCAGTCAAGCCAAAGTACTGCCTGTATGAAAAACACAGTTTTTTTGCCAGAGGAAAGAGAAAACTTCACACGCACGACATTTTTAAAGAAATGGGGGAACCCATTGAGCCAAGCTCAAAGAAAACCATCACCACGGTGCTGACCATTCCTCCCAGCCTTACAGTCTCAATCCTAAACTGTAGGATCCTCAAGGTTGAGTACAGACTGAGGGTGAGTTACAGCATCTAAAGTAGTGGTGCCCAAACTTGGTCCTGGAGGGCCGGTGTCCTGCAAAGTTTAGTCCCAACTCCAATCAGACACCTTGGCTAGCTAATCAAGCCCTTACTAAGCATTCTAGAAAGATCTGTGCAGGTGTGTTGAGGCAAGTTGGAGCTAAAATCTGCAAGACACCAGCTCTCCAGGAATGAGATTGGACACCCCTGATCTAAAGCAAATGGTGCATTCTACTTTATGCAATGGTACGCAGACCAATTAAAATATTACTTGAAGTGGTTTATGCCAGTTAAAAATTTTGCCCTTTTTGAGAAGGTGCTGACGCCACACTACTGTCATGAGTGGCATCAAAGTACGAAGAGATCAAAGAGATACTTAACGATTGGCTATACTCTCTACATAACAATGATCATGTGTTACAGGTTTATTTGACAACCTCAGTCTCACAGTTTCGTCAAAGAAAAAAAAAGGGGAGGGGGGATATTTGTTGTCAACAAACTTGACGGTATTCAGTCATGTTACTAGCAGAGAGGACCTATGAATTTATGCACTTCTGATTCACTCATTTAATGAATGAACCACATTATTGCTGACAACAAAGATGAGACTATAATGTTGTCAAAAATATAACTAACCAACATTAATATATGTATATATAATCTGCTTAATTGAGCTGGTAATTCATTAAACAAGTGGATCGGAGTGTGCAGATTCATTAACGTTAATGGCACAGCAGACCTGTCGAGTTTCTGTTTATCAAGACTTTTTTTTACATTAATACTCCTACTAATGGGCTAAATGCACACAGACTTTTTTTGAACTGTCTTTCCATAACAAAATTGTCATGTTTAAGATCTGATTTCTTTCAAAATCAGCAATCTTCATTGCATGTTAGATATATGATATAAAGTGAGTCTCAGTTTTTACAAAAAGCAGTGCATTAAATTCTATTTTCCTCGCCATGTCTTTAAAATGACAGTTTATTTTACCCCTGTATTTTCAATGGAATTTCTGCGCTAGACTGTTGCAACTGACGGCACTAGTGGTTACAATGGTCTTTCATCACCTTTTACTCTTGAACAACTAAATGAATGCTTAAGTCTAATTAAATAAATGCTTTGTAATTACATTACAATACAACATGGATGCTGTATAAAAAGCCTTGGGAAATTGAAAATAGTTTTAATTTTAAGCTTTGTAAGTTTATCATTGGCTTTAAAACACCAGCTGTGCATAGAGCCCATTCTCATATACAGTCTTTCAATACAACACAATGAACTTTTTCATGCCATCTCCATCCCGTGAAGCATATTCATCAAGATATTACATATATTTTTTTCTTCATTACTTTAAGTTAAGCTAAATTAGTTGTGTGCATATTGTTTTTTTTTTTTTTTTTTTTTTAAGATGCTTTACTGTGTTCAGCTTCATTACTGTTACAACCCCTGGACAGTCTAGGGGAGTGGGAATTTGGTTAAAACAAACACTCAATGAAAATTATACTCAAAGTAATAAACACAAACAATCAAAACCAGAACTATCTTATTAATATCAAATCCCCTCTAATTTAGTCTGATTAACACAAATGTGAAAAATAAATCCAACGTCCAAAGATGTCTCACCTAAACTATATTAACTATACACTTAACCAAAAATACAAGGATTGGCACTCAGCACCTTCCCTAGTGTATTTCTAAACAGTTGAAACTCCTACGTGTTAGAATGTTAAAAAGTGTGTCACATGACCTACTCGCTTACCAGTCTTTCTACCAAACCTCTGTGGAGAAACAGGAAACGGAATGAATAGTTACACACTGATAAAAACAGATAGTGACTACATCAAAATGACAACACGATGTAAATAGTTTTGAAGACTGACAATATATAGCTTAACAAAATGGAGATATAACCACTAATAGAATAAGCAATTGAAGAGCACAGAAATTATCATACTAAGCCATAAAATGCTGACGACTTTTGGCAGACAAGGCTCATAAAGAAAGCTAGAGTGAGGCGACACTGGAAACTTTTTGCAGCTTAGGAACTAATCAGCGGTGCGTTTCCCAAACAACAACATAACTCACAGCTGAACGAACATAGTACGATGCATCGTTTGGGAATAGATGTAGTGATGAGTGTTTCCCAAAAGCCTTAGATTCTCTGTCGCAGATCCATCATTTGAACCACGTTAGTTATAACATATAACGCCCATGTTGATGCTCTAAAGGGGTGGAGTAACAACTTCTTGAGAGAAGAACCCCATAATTTCTTTGTGGAAATAATATTGTTTTACAAGCACACGCATTTAAGATAAAATCCAATATTAGTTTTGGTAAAAAACTGCACTTAATTTTTATATTAATTGAAATATATTTATAACACATACAGTATAGGGCCTATGTTTCCAAATATTATTGAGAACATTACATATTCTATTCTAAAACATAAAATCACTTACAAAGGCTAGCATGTATTCTAATATCATATATACATAATATAAATTAATAATGAAGCTATTTATTATGAAATGAAGTTTAATATTTATTATTTATTAGGAAATGAAAAAAAAAAATCACACTTTAAAAATAATATTATTAATAATAATGATCATGATTATTATGAATATTATTATTATTTTTAAGTAGGATAGTTTTTTTTTTCTTAAAGTCTACTTTTACAAATTTACATGCAAACCGCTGCAGAAATTTTCTAACCAACAGATCCATGTCATATACAGTACAGATACTTAATAAAATACTTAATAAATAACCCACTTTAAATTAAAAGCATTAACATATGCTATATATTTTGTTTTCACAAGCTTTGAAGACATAACGTAGATTCCGCTTTTAAATAATAGGTCACCTATAGCTTTCGTCATGAGCCATGGCTGTGTTCAAAAAGACATCAATGTTTTTTAAAGTGCACTACGAAGGGAGCGCAATTGTAAACATGAAGTTCGCTAAAACTGAACTGTAAAAATACTTTGAAAGGAAATGACACCTAAGAGTGATGACTTTAATGCTTTTCTTTAAAAATCGTTCCAAGTTTAAATGTTAGAATGTTTTAAATGAATATGGCATGGAGGGATAATTGGGAATAGAACACAGGCAGGAACTATATTTCTAACCACAGCTCTAGAGGTGTAGTTGCAAGCATAGAAGTTTGAGACGCAGTTTGCGAATGTTCGTTGGAGCGATGGATTTGGAAGACGCCAAATCAACAAACTATGTTTGTAATGACAGAACTTGCAACTTTAGTTGGCTAAGGATGGTTTTGGGAAACGTACCCCAGGATGAGCCGGATGCGCAATTGGTTAAAGCAAGCTTTATTTAACCAACCAATTAGTGACAGAGGTAGACAAAACAAGGAAGTTAACTTGGGTGGTAAAAAGAAAAACACGTAATGAGATGCATAATAAAAACATAAATAAGCAATACCTGCTGGCACTTATCAAATACTTTTTTGGATAATTATTTTCAATGAATAACTTGTATCAGTTTACTAAATATTTAATATATAATGTGATCATTATTGGTTGTTGATCACACAATGTGATCTGTCATGACTGCAGAATATTTCGAGAGCCCAAAGTGTCCGACTTGTCGGCTCTGTTTTTACCTCCGCCCCTTGACTGTACTCAGCTCATATTATTGACAGCAGTCTGCAGCCATGGTTGAAATAGAGCGCACCTAAAAACAGCTGCTTGTTGTAATGATGTGAACTGTGTGATCAATTTGTATTTAAACCTGGATCTTGATGTGTTTACAGTCTTAAAACAAGACTCAAATAGAGATGAGTTTCAGTTGTCATTGTCCAGTCTCAATAATTGGTTTGTCATTTGTGTCTAGGTTTACTTGGATGTGAAATATGCATCAGATCCAGAGATCAAATTCCCAATAGTGATTCTTCCTGTTCAGCCTGTATCAGGTGCAAATGGTGCTAGAAATAATGACTTTGGAATTTGGAATCAGCCACCGCCAGGCATTGCAGGTCCCAACCCACCTCCTACAGCTCCATCAGCCCAACCACACAATATGGCTGGACCACCTGGTCAGTTTAGTGCTCCTGGTAATTACGGACCTCCTGTTGGTCAATTTCCATCTCCTGGTTACCCTGGACCTCCTTTGGGTCAGGGTGGTCCTCCTAGTTACACTGGACCTCCTCTGGGTCAGTTTGGGGCTCCTGCTTTTCCTGGACCTCCAGGTCAGTCCGCTCCCTCTTATTACAGTGGAGCTCCGGGCCAGTTTGGTTCTTCAGTTCCACTTCAGTCAAGCACATCAGCTCCACCTCCATATCAGGAATACAAGTTTTATCCACAACTGCCAGATCAGCCAGAAAAATCTTGACAAAATCATTTTGGAATAACTTTCTAGGTTCCTTTTATTGTTGTGTTGTTTAAAAAGCTGCAGTTTGGGAATCATTTCTCACTTTTAATGAACCATTAACTATGACTGGCGTATTTGCTGAGCATCTGATTTGGTGTTTATTTATAATTTGGTTGTTAATAAATTTAGTCATGGGGTAGAATTACAGGATGTCAAATGTGGTCATGCAGAATAATAAGGCATCAATAAACCGACATTGTGCTAGTAATATGCAATCTAATGAACAACAAAAGTGAGAGTTGGTCCCTGAAAAAAAAAAAAAAAAAAAAACATTACTGTATCATATCTACAATGACCTATATTATTTTTGTAAGTTAGTAGTTCACTTTTAATATTTAAATAAATGAACATAGATCTATCATAGTATTATTTTTGTATGCTTAACCATCTGTGTGGTGCTAAATTCTGCATCACATACAGTATGATAATACTGCTATATTTGTACTGAAGTGAATGCAGTTCTATTCTTCAGTAGTGTTCTTTGCCATATACATTTTGCAGTGAAAGTAGGCCAACCATTAGTGTGAAGGTTTACCTAAATTGTGCGGTTAAAGGGATAGTTCAACCAAAAATTAAAAAAAAAATAAATAAAAAAAAAATATATATATATATATATATATATATTTTTTTTTTTTTTTTTTTTTTTTTTTTTAATATATACTTTACTCTTCCTTAACTTGTTCCAAACCTGTTTGACATTATTTCTCATGTTGAACACAATAGAAGATATTTTCAAGAAAATTGGAAACTTGTAATCTTGTGTTTGAAACCACTTCAGGGTGAGTAAATGTTTGTTTATGTGTGAACTATCCCTTTAACACACAAACATGTTTTGTATTGAATTCTGTGATGCTATACTGCATGTTGACAGAATAATGTATTCTGTGTTGTCATTTAGAAGTAAAATGAAATCTGTTTTATTTACAAATATTATAAGATAAGCCTTGTGAAAAAAGGAAAATTTAAAGTTTGTGTAGATAAATACACAAACTTGTTGTGTAGACACAGGTGTTGTTTGTATCAAAGTAGCCTTTTAATAGGCTATTTTTTAAAGCTACACATTATAAATGTAACCTCATGTTCTTTAGCAGTTAAAATCTTAAAAATCATAGTCTTGAAGAGGACCATTGCGTTGGTTGCTTTTGATTGTGCTTCGGGTTCCTTGATGTGTGGATGAATTTGCTTTGTGAAACCATTACAATCTATTTAAATATCTTCTATTTTATGTTCTTATAAAATGTAAACAATAAAAACACTAATCCCTTTTCAAATAAATAAATCAAAAGCTTAACCAATATGTTTTATGTGTAAAATAACTTTCAACTTGTATTACTCCCACAGTACACACTTAACAGGGGTGTGTTTCCCAAACAACAACAACATAACTCGCGGCTGAACTATCATAGTACGATGCATCGTTTGGGAAAAGAATGATGTAGTGACGAGTGCTTCCCAAAACCTGTAGTTTCTCTGTCGCGGATCTATCGCTTGAACCATGTTAGCTATAACGTAAAATGCCCATAATGATGCTTTAAAGGGGTGGAGTAACAACTTCTTTAGGGAAGAACCCCATAATGTCTTTGTGCAAACTATATTGTTTTATACACACAATCCAAAATTGTTTTTGGTAAAAACATGCACTCGCTTTCCATATTAACTTAAATATTTGTATGGCACATATAGGGCATTTGTTTGCTTTACTAGTATTATTGCAAAGTTGAACATTACATTCTCTATTCTAAAACATAAAATCACTTATAAAAGCTAACACTATTCTAATATAATTTTATATTTATTATTTATTAGCCTAGGAAATTTTAAAAATCCTACTTTAATAATAATAATAATAATAATAATGATAATAATATTTAACATTATAACATTAATGATGATTATGATTATTAAGTAGAATATTATATATTTATTTATTTTATTATTTTTTTAAAGGTCTACTTTTACAATTAGACAGATGCAAACCACAGCAAACAAGTTCTAACCAACAGACCCATGTCATATACTGTACAGATACTTCATAAATAATCTACTTTAAGTTAAAAGAATGAATGTTTGCTATATATTTTGTTTTCACAAGTATTGAAGACGTAACATAAATTCCGCTTTTAAATAATAGGTCTCCTATAGCTTTCGTAATAAGGATGTGTTCAAAATGACATCAATGTTTTCAAAGTGCACTGCGAAGGGAGTGCAATTGTAAACATGAAGATCGCTAAAACTGAACTGTAAAAATACTTTGAAAGCAAATTACACCTGAGAGTTGACCTTAATACTTTTTTTTAATTTCAATAATTCCAACTTTGAATGTTAGAGTGTTTCATATGAATAGGGCATGGGGGGATAAGTGGGAATAAAACACAGCCAGGAACTATGTTTCTAACTACAGCTCCAGAGGTGTAGTTTCAAGTGCTCAAGTTTGTGACGCAGTTTGCGAATGCTCGTTGTAGCAATGGATTTGGAAAATGCCAAATCATCGAACTATGCTTGTAAGAACGGAACTTGCAACCTTAGTTGGCTAACGATGGTATTGGGAAACGCACCCCAGAATAGTTGTGGCTACGTGTATACGAAATATGTTGATGTATTTAACTTTTTCTTCAGTAGAACAGAAGGATTTTTTTTTTTACTTGAAACTGTGGTTCTTGTCAATTTAGAAAATGCAAGTCAACAAAATGAAAGTGGCACTCGATTATTCATTGTACTCCTGAGAATACAGTCTTTCTGTGCAAGATACTGGACATCATTAATAAATTAAATTTTTTGTAAATTTAAACCTTTTATGACAAGCTACAGCATTCATTGTAAGCACGCAGATATGAACAATACAACATAATCTTCCTCTGTGTAAACAAACAGCATAAGCTAGTGTAAGGTAGTAATACAGCAACAAGACACTCACCTCTCATGTAGTTTCCTTCAGGGGTTTGCTACAGTGGAATAGACTGCCATGTTCAGTTTCTTGCATATGTTGTTTTGCAATAAAAGATGTCAATGTATCATCAGAAGCCACAGGTATACATTTTATATATAAATGGTGTCTCAAAGCATAAAAAAAAGTTTTCTGAGCACAATTAAGTTAATTTGAAACTGCACAACAACAATATCAGACATTTAAGTGCACACAATAAAACTAAAGCATTTGATTCATAGGTAGTTCAATTCTTAGCCAAAGTATAATCACACACTTGGCTAAAGACCGAATACCAAACATATTTCTTATGTTTTGTTTTTTTCTTCTTTTTTCAAAAAGTGTAAAAAAAAAAAACTAGCTCAAGTTTTGTTTGTGTACACAACAACCCTCCAAAATGATCCAACAGAAACAAATCAGTATTTGCTTTGTCATCTGCTTGATCACTACATTCACTTGAAGTCAGAATTATTAACCCCCCTGAATTATTAGCCCTCCTGTTTATTTTTTCCACAATTTTTGTTTAACGGAGAGCAGATTTTTTCAGCACATTTCTAAACATAATAGTTTTAATAACTCATTTCTAATAACTGATTTCTTTTATCTTTGCCATGATGGCAGTAAGTACTATTTGACTTGATATTTTTCAAGACACTTCTATAGTGACATTTAAAGGCTTAACTAGGTTAATTAGGTTAACTAGGCAGATTAGAGTAATTAAGTTATTGTATAATGATGGCTTCTTCTATAGACTATGCAATAAAAATATTGCTCAAAGGGGCTAATAATTTTGTCCTTAAAATGTTTTTTTTAAAAATGTTAAATGATATAGCCAAAATAAAACAAATAAGACTTTCTCTAGAAAAAAAAAGAAAAGTTTCCTTTCTCTGTTATACATAATTTGGGAAATATTTAAAACAGAAAAAAAAAATTAAAGGGGGGCTAATAGTTCTGACAAAAAAAAAAAAAAATCACTACTCCTACACCAATTTTACCTTTTTAAAAAAAACAAATTCAGTCATTTCACTAATAGCCTGGCTTGATTGTCAATACATTAATAAATCTGCATAAAATGATTCCTTCATCATTTTACTCCTAATGTCTTCAGTTGATGATGCTCCACTTCTCTTTATATTCTATATTTTTATTCCTTCCACTGTTCATGCCAAATATTTAATGCCCTTTTTTCTGATCACATTTGTAATCTTCAAAGTTTTGTTTCATGTGCTCCAGTCCCAGAACAGCTGCTCAGCTTGTGCATGACCCACTGCTATACATTTAAGCAGAAACCATTGGATTCAAAGTCATTCAAGCGGTGAGACTATTAATATTGTGTTACTTTAGGTTTTATTGCCTAATTTTGAAACTTTAGAACAGTAAAGTGCGTGGGTGGACAATAAAACGATCATTAACAGAAGTAAAGAGATCATAAAGAATTTAGAAAATGTATGGTTACACCTTGCTAACAAAAGTCATTTCATTTTCATGACTTCCCAGCAACCTTCAACACTTTGAAGGCAAAAGTTTTCTGATCAATTTTTATGTCTTGCAAAGCCAGTGCAGAGTTTTACCATGTTAATAGAAACACTAAAACTAAAATCCATTGTACAGTGCCTGTATTAAATATTTATCTACAATGTTTTGACATTCAGTCATCTCTCTTTTGTCTTGCTTTGGCGCCTCAGTATGGAGCCAAAGATAAAGAGGTGAAATTATTCACCTAATCAAAAACACTGACAAAATGGGAAAAAACCAGCATCATTAACACTGCATGTATTATTATTGTTATAACACATTAGCATTGCTGATGTTCCTTCATCATTCTTGTACTGTTGTGTCAAAAAAGGCAAAGCTTGTCCATTTCAGAAAAACTCATCAGTGAAAAAAGACAACACAGGATCAAATTTCAAGTCACAACAATAAACAAACACAGTAGTGCTGAACTGCGTGCATGTAATTACATAATATTTTATCTTTAGTGAACACACTTTGTTACACCTGATTGGTGGCCTGTTTCTGTTTGTTTTCTCAATGTTTTCTTTTTGTTTTCATGTCCTGTTCTTGTCTCTTCCTGGTTGCCCTGCCTGGACGTGCCACCAGCTTGTGCTGTGATAGATACCGGACGAGCCCCCAATTTTTGTTATGGCCCAGATGCCTGAGGCTGGTTTTGGATCATAACAAAAAGTAAATATATGAATAAACAGCTAAAAATTAGGAGTTAATTGACCTTCAGGTTGACCTTCAGGTTATTGAAAGAAAGAAAAATCAAGATGAACTCTTTTGTGTAAAAGAAAACAAAGAATAAGAGCACATGAATAGCTTCAGGACTTAGCAAGGCCAAAATACTAAACAATATATGGCAAATTCCACTCTAAAATAACAGAATCAGAAACAGAACCAAAGACAAAAAATACAAAAAACTTTACTTTATCTGATTAGACTTCTATCAATTTGAAAACTCTTTATTCTTTTTCTCAAATGCCTGATATAAGTGAAATGTGTGTTTTTGTATTTTTATTATATCTATTTTGTCTGTTAACTTTAAAACCGTTTGATGGTTGATTATTGGTCAAATGTTTAGTCATGTTTAATCTGGTATCAGCAGGCGAGGTCACAGTCGCACAGTCTTCTCTATAAAATCAGTGATTGGTACTTGATAGCTTGTGAGTTATGCAATATTTGACGTTTGAAACATTTTTTCAAACTGCAAAAGCTGAAGTTTAGTTTAAGGTTCAACACATTAAGTCTTGAGATTAGATTTAACTGAAAATGACCTTTGTAGTAGAAATATCTTCTTTTTTTATTGATCTATCTATAAAACCATACAAAAAAAAAAAAAAAAAAAACTCTTAAAATTATAAAACATTTTGTTGTTCCTTTAAGGGTGAGTCCCCATACATAGTTTTGACCAATTCCATGTTAATCTTAAGTACCTATAGAGTACTACTGCATTCTTCATATCACCAAATAGTCTTTAGTTTTATTGGATCTATATAAAAAAAAGATACAGCTTTACGATTATTTCAGGTAATGCAGAGCTAATGAAGGCAAGTACAGGTTATATAAGCTAACTAACATTCTGTGTTGGGTAAAAATATTTTATTTTACTTGGTGTATATTGTATACGCTTATTTAAAAATAAAATAAACTTCCAAAAGTAGCCTACCTAATAACAAATTTGACATGGGGAAGGGATTAGGCATGCGTACAGATGAAATGGTGTCTTTTTGTATTGACAGTATGGTGTGTGAATTATAAAATCAAGTAAAACACAGCAAATTTCTGTCAATGCTGAATCGTAAGCTATGACATCAGCAAGAACTGCCGTCACACAGGAGAAACATCCAGCTGTTATAGTGTGATATTTGTAATGGAGGCCAGTGACTGCTATGCGAGTGCTGTGCTGGAACAGCTGCTCTGTCTGACATGCGCTCATAGCAGGCAGGTGATGTCAAACCCAAGTGGTTTCAACAGATAGTGGCTATTTATTTAAACTCATGAAAAACTAATGCTACTTTAAAGATATTAGAGTACTCGTTTGCTGTTAGTCTCTCAACAACAGATGAACTGAGCTAGTGAGCAGCTACTATGAAAACAGATTACTTGGAAACAGTCATGAATTTTTTTTACCTTATCTATATTTAGGACTAAATTGTAGCATTTGTTTAAAAAGAAGAAAAAATAAATTCTTTCTTTTTACAATGCAATGATAAGTTGTAAAAATATACAATAATTTGGTAGTTGGGCTTAGAAGTTACTAGCAGTGTTATGTTTGATACAGCAGAAAAAAGTCAAATAGCTTCTTTTCGAGATGTATACGTGATGTACTTTTAATTTTGAGTTGGACAGCAGTGGTTTCCATGTTTTTTTTTTTTTTTAAACAATCTTGGTGAGCACCCACATATACCTTTCAGACAGCTTCCTCTTGTGTCCACAGTTACTCCTGTTGAATGTGGTTTATGCTTTGCTGACAGTACCCTGGATAATTTGCCTTTTGATACATCACAAAGACTTGCTGTCCTGGTCACAGGTGCCAGCAAAGAAGTGTAACAACAATTTGTCCCCTTTTGTGCACTTGAATTCAGAAGGACGGTGCTTAACTCTGCATGAAATAAAACAATAGAAACGATCAGATTTTGTTATGATTTTATTGGTTATAAATGGGAATTGCATTGGTTGTAATGGTCATATGGGCCTCTAATTGGCATTAAAGTAATGGTTTTATTGGTTATAAATGGAAATGATTGCATTTTCTTTCTTGAAAACTGTAATGATCATATGAACATCTAATCGTTATTATTTGACATAAACTGTGTATATTGAAGCCACAATTATAAGCCCTCCAGGGATTTTTTTTCCTCTTTCAAATATTTGAAGAAATTATGTTTAACAGAGCAAGGAATTTTTCAAAGTATGTACTAAAATATTTATTCTTCTGAAGTCTTTATTATTATTATTAATATTATTAGTATTATTTAGGCTAGAATAAAAGCCGTTTAAACAAAAATTAAGGTCAACATTAATAGCCTTCTTATGATTTTTTTTAAATTGTCTACAGAACAAACTGCAGTTTCTGTGATGGTTCTTCTTTCAGCAGGGTTTTATTTTTTAGGTTGTGACTTTTTACACTGACAAACATTTAAATGTCTGTAATAATTCAAAGTTAGAAATGACAAATTGTCACTTGCCTATGTCATAAAAAAGGTAAAAGTTCAATTCAGCTCAGGAAGATTGGCAAGACAGTGGTCTTCCTGAGCAAAACTGGATATGGTTTACATGTAGCATGTGCTGCTATCTAGTGGACAATTTCAATTTCTTATTTTTTAACAGTCTAAATTTAATAATTTTTTTCTTTTTCGTTTTTTTTATTAACAACAGAAAAAAAAGATTATACATCAGGATGTATAAAATATGCCAGAGTAACTAATTAAAAATTTTCTTGGATCCTTTTTTTCTTATGAATGTGAAATTTATTTAAAATAAATAAATAAAAATAAACAAATAAAAAACAAGAAATGCAAATTCATTTTATTGAAATTTTCTTTTCATTGAAAATCAGTTTATTTGTTCACCCAATTTTTGTTTAATGGATATATGATTTCTCCAACACGTTTCTAATCATAATAGTTTTAATAACTCATCTCTAATAACTGATTTATTTGATCTTTGCTATGATGAAAGTAAATAATATTTTACTAGATATTTTTCAAGACACTTCTATACAGCTTAAATTGACATTTAAAGGCTTAACTCGTTAATAAGGCAAGTTAGGGTTCTTCAACGTAAAAATATGTTTAATTCTTTAACTTTAAAATATATTTTTCTAACTTACAATATCTCTGAAGAATCAGTTCTGCTCTTATAAAATAGTGTTCTATAGGTATGGCAAATACAAATACGATAGCCAAGTCCTGTGGAGTAATTGGGAAACCAACTTTGTCTTAAAGTCACTGTAAAATAAAGTTCAATAGAGTTTTTTTTAAACAAACACAATATAATTTTATACCAACTTTTGAAAAAAGATATGTCTTTTTTAAGCCTTAAGTCTAAATATATTTATCTGTATATACACCTATTATTTCAAATAACCCCACACCTTTAATTTACAATGGCTGCGTCTGCTCTTACATAAAAAAATATAATAACTACGCCACACCCACATCTGAAAGTGATTTGCATACGGATTGTTTCCTGATGTGTGTGCGCACGTGAGCACTATAAAGTATTCCATTCAGGTCAGGTAGACGCTAGAAACTGATAATCTGGCTTCCGGAGGCACGATGTCGCTCACTGTGAAAAACATTTCTGTCATTTACAATCCTATCAATCAGAACAATACTTTCACCAGCGGGGATTATATATCGGGACAAGTCATTCTGGATGTGGTGAAAGACACTCAAATGCAGTCGCTGAGTGTGAAAATTAAAGGGAAAGCAAATGTTTGCTGGTCAGAGCATTACGGTAAAACCACTGTTTGTTATTCGGATAAAGAAAAGTTTTATTCGGTGGAGAGGTTTTTTGTTCGGACTGACACAAAACAAGGTAGGTGTCTGCTCTACTCTTTTAGTTTTTGACATTGAAGCCTAGTCGATTTAATCAGCATTTTGCATGTGATGTAACTTGATCTGTTAGGCACTGACCATGAGATGCTGAAGGATCCATCTGGACAGCCTTGTAAGTGTTTTGATTGTTATTATTGAAAAAAATGAACAGAAAAAAATATGCTTATTTTCTTTATTTACTTTTTTGACTTGTTAGACTCTTCGGTGGTGGCCCCAGGTCGTCATCTTTACCCTTTCACCTTTCAGTTGCCCTTACAGTAAGTATTTTAAAAGGAAAATTGGCAACACTTTACAATAACAGTACATAGATAATGATATACTAATATGTAAACTAAACGTTTTATTATTATTATTATGAAATAGTGATGAGTTAAGGAATGCACTAATCTTTAACTTACTTAAATACATCATCACATGAGTTACGCGAGTCACATGATTTCATGTGTGAATAATTAGGCTACCTGTTGGAACAAGTTTGGACTATTTGAAGTCACTATTTATAGTATTAACAAACCACTAATAACACTACTAGCTTAATAAACTACTAATTAGCTGTTTATTATTAGTTAGTAAGATAAATTGGGGTTATGTTTGGGTGGGACTGGGGATGCAGAAAAAAGATAATATTTTATAACTATTAATTAATAGTTATTATCTTAGTAATAGGCTGGTAAGCCAGTAGTTAATGGTATGAATTGTGACCTAAAGTGCTACTCATGTTTGTTAATTAATGTGTTAATTATCACTAATCAATTATCACTTATTATCGTTTAATGTAACTTTGTCATTACTTCGGCACGATATCATTTACTCATTCTTAACTCTTCAAACTCCTGTGTTAAAGAGCCCATATTACGGGTTTTTGAAAATTCCCCTCCATGTAGTGTGTAACAGCTCTAAGTGAAGTGAAGTATCCAGCTAAGGCTTAAATCTGTAAGAGTACAGTGTTTAAAACGGTTGATTCATCTATAAAAGAGTCGACTCATAGTGCTTCAAATGAGTCGTCTTGATACCGAGTCATTATGTGTTTCGCCATGACGTACTAACGAAACCAAGTTATTCACGTGCACGCGAAACCCGGGAGATTTGAAACCTGCGGCCCCGCCCTCTGACACAGAAACCCAGACACACACGCACACACACACACACACACACACACACACACACACACACACACACACACACACACACACACACACACACACACACACACACGCCGGTTGGTTGAAGTGAAGATGGATATTATTGAGCATCTACCCAAAGATGAAACCTCAGCATTATAACAAAGCAGTTGGAAACTACTGTAAACTTCTGCAAACTACATGATACAAAGAATACTTCATCGGCGTTTGTTAAAAAAAAGATCAGTAAAGAGTAACTTACTGATGGACGTCAGGATGGGTTTCTTCCTCCATTTCTCAAGTGTAAGTACGTGTGATTAAAGTTGCCTCGTTGACTCTAGCTTGCAAATGTATTTAGTTGTGATTTGTTACTTGTAACCGCGTGTACTGTATCAGGTTAACTGGCTATATTCTCTTATCGCGTGCAAAGTCACGTTAAAAACGCGACATGTGCCGCTTTGTTTACGGAGCTCCGTGGAAGAGGGTAGTGTGTGCGTGCGCGCGTTTGTGTCCGGAGGTATGTGTGTTTGTGTATGTGCACGCGTGTTGTCGTCCGGAGGTGTGTGTGTGTGTGTTTTTGTGTGTGTCTGTGAAAAAAAGCAGAGTGAGACAAGCTAGGAGATCTCCTCGACAGTTGTTGGAGTTTTTGCTCAATAAAATAGTTAGTCTTCTGTATTTTCAAGTCCATAGTCTGTATTTACATTGACCCACTGGCAGCTAAAATCCACGCCTACACTATCGAGCGTGTATGAACTGTGATTACTTTTATATTGCTGATTAGCTGTTGGGCATTTCACTCTCTGACTGAAGGCAGCCGACCAATCGCAACAGACTGTTATCGGTCCAATCAGCGCAGATTAGCTTCGCGCTAAGGAGGGGTTTGGTAACAAATGAATCACTGGACGATTCATACAGGAGTCGCTGGGATAATTAGGTAAAAATAAATGCAGATTATAAGACCATGAAAGTGTTTTTTGACCTTGCATGCATATTAGACTGTTGTTGGAGACCCTCACAACCAAGATATGACCCTATTTCATGTATAATATGGGCTCTTTAAACATTACAGTTCAATAAAACAGTTAAACAATAAAAAAAGTTTTCTGTCTACATCAAAATGAACAGTTTAAACACAGGAGTTCATGAGTAGTTAAGAATGTGTTAATGATAATGTGCCCCTCCAAGTAAAGTGATGACATAAGAATACATTAACATTTCATGTTGGTTACATTTATCTTGCGCTGTGTTAGGCTTAATACATTAATGTAATAATCAATACAATAATTAACAAATATGTTGTAGTTAAGTTAGTTTTTGATTAGCACATGCCTTAACTCATATAATTAACATATGAATAAATCATTATTCATTTACTGTTACTGTAATGTATTGCTGCATAATACTGTATATCATTTCAGCATCAATATCAGAATGTACGAATCTGCAATAGTCACATCGGAGGATCTGCATTATTGAGTTGGGATTGTAATTAACTAGAAAACACAGAATTTTTTAGGCCTGCATTTGATGTGTCTATGCAAGATTTCAAGCGAATTTAAACCATTTGGGCACTTGAAATTATAAAATGTGTAGCTTTAACAAAGACGTGGATCACAGAATCTTTTCAAATTTGTCCTGAGAAGATGTGACTAAGAATGGATGTTGTTGAATAGTTTTATAAGGGTTTTAGAGTTATTTTACAATTGATCTTTTAATTTCTGTGCCTTAATACTGTTAGACTCTCCAGAAAACCGTAAAGCACTGTTTATTTAATTTGTATCTTTGTTTTTTTAATTTATGGTTGTAATATGTTTATTATTTTACGCATGTACAAAATCATCACAATCAATATAAAATGATGAATTCTTTCCAAATAGATTCATTAGTCATATTGTGAAATTCTGTTTATATATATATATATAGCAGAAAAGCTAAATATCGCAATGTCAGTTTTTCCAATATGTAAAAATGTTACTGGCAAAAGAAATAAACAAGTTTAGTAGCTTATAACTTGCTTAGTAGTGAAAAGTGTTAATTCTTTGCACATTGAACACATATAAATGAACACAACTTCATAGTTAATCAGGCTTTTTTATTTATTGTTATTATATTAGCCTGTATTTATTTATATTTATTGTTTTGTAATTATATAGGCCTATTAGATCTTTAAGAATTTCAATCAATGAGACTTTCATGCTGTTCAATTTACAGGCACTTCCCATCATCCCTCAAAGGCTCAGTTGGAAAAGTTCTCTACACTTTGGAGACAAAACTATGCCGATCATTGCGTGTGTCTAGCAAAGCCAAAGCAGAGTTTAACTATGTTCCCAGTGCTGACATTTCCAATCCTGAGCTAATGGTAAGACTAAGACTAAATGCCATGTGGTGTTTTTCTAATCTACAGTATACCCAACGTTCCTCTCTGTCTTTTTGAGCATCAGTTGCCTAAGTATTATGTTTGTACTTGTTTAGGCTCCTCAGTATGGAACCATAGATAAACAAATGAAGTTCTTCAACTCTGGGAATGTCTCCATGAACATAAGCACTGAGAAAATGGCATACTATCTTGGTAAAACTTTTTATTAAAACACCTCTATAATGTTTATGTTCTTTGTCAATAAGTGCAAAGTAGATATGCACACTTTTCACCCAGACATTTCAAGGCAGCCTGTTTCTGTATGTTTTAAACAAGATGAAACTGCATGTGAAACTAGACATAAAACAAATTTGAGCTTCATGCTAACTCTGTCAGTAGTCTTGTATAGAAAAGATTAAGATGTTGAATGTGGTCTTTTCAGATATTGTGCTTCTACCATTTAAATAATTGACAAGGAAGCTACACATTTCAAGCTTGAAATCAGCCAGTAGCCCCCTCTCGCAACCAGCCCACACACCACTTGCACAACTGGTTATACCTGTTTATACTTCTCTGTTTAAATAGTCCAGCATAAACTCATGGATACACATAAACATCATTTAAAGAGATTGAATTACATGTATTCATATCCATGGGGTTAGTTTGATATCACTAAGTAGGACATTTATGTTGATCCTGGACTTGGATGTTGAACATTCCAATTAGATTTAAGGTATAAGTTTGTAATTTATGTCAAGTTTAGGCTTACTGTTAGGGTTATGTACTTGTATTTCATTTTTATCCAACTATTAATACACTCTGGTTTTAGGAATACAGTGCATCTGATTCACAGCTGTATTATTCACAGCAACAAGCAGACACTACAGATCTAAAGTGTCGTTAGAATCTTTAAAAGATGCTTGCTCAGCTGTTTAACTGTCAGCTTATGATTTGAATCCAACGCGGAAGAAAGTAATTCCTCATACAAAAGGGTTTTTGAGACTCCATGTTTGATTTTGTTTTTATATACATAATTATGCCGTCAAACTTTTGTATAAACGCAGTATTACACGCGTAGTAGTGTGATATGGCTGTATATTGGAACTGGTGGGGGCACTAAGGCACTCGGCCAAAACACTTACACGCCTCCCACCAGTGCCCATATACTGCCATATAACACTGCTACTTGTGTGATATTGCTCATATATATATATATATATATATATATATATATATATATATATATATATATATATATATATAATTTATTTTTTTTTTTTGATTATTGCAAATTTATTACAAATAGATAACCGAAAAAAACAAACAAACATATGTACATAAGTGTTCACAGCCTTTGCTTAATCCTTTGTTGATGCACCTTTGACAGCAATTACAGCCTCAAGTCTTTTTGAATTTGATGCCACAAGCTTGGCATACCTGTCTTTGGGAATGTTTGGCCATTGCTCTTTGCAGTACCCCTTTTAAGCTCTATCAGGTTGGATGGGAAGCAATGATGTACAGCCACTTTCAGATCTCTCCAGAGAGGTTCAATAGGATTTAGGTCTGGGCACTGGATGGGCCCCTCATGGACATTCACTGAGTTGATGTGAAGCCAGTCCATTGATATTTTGGCAGTGTGCTTTGTGTCAATAGCCCCTTTCACACATACAGACCTTTCCGGAAAATTACCGGCAATTTTCCGGAAAGGTTGTATGTGTGAACAGGTCCTTTTTGAAAATACCGGTAAATTCGTTCCGGTATTCGGTAAATTCGTTCAGGCTATTTTCCGGAAAGAGAAGTTGTAACATTACCGGTAATTTGCCAGAATGCTGCGCTATGTGAATGCAGAAGGAAGATTGCCGGAAAGAGCGCGTGCACGTCTAGACTTGCTGACGTGAGACGTCTGCTTTAGCCAATCAGAACACTTACCGTACGTTCACACCGAAAGCGGCGAGAGCGTCAAAGTAGCCGGAAGTCATTCATTTTCAATGAGAGCCGGCGGCGAGGAGCAGCGCGGCGCGTCTTCGCCGGCGTGAGCGTCGAGGAGAGTTGAAATGAACTTTATGGTAATGAGCTATGACGCGGTTCGGCGGCAAGCAATCAGAATGAAGACGTCCATCGCTTGATAGCAGTTCAGAGAACACAGACCTGTGAACTTTGGTTCCGACCACAGTTGTTCCCAAGGGTTTGATTATTGCGGTCGCCGGATTTCCAATTATTTAAAAATTTTTCCTACAGGAACATACATTAAATAAGTTACTGGTGAGTTACTGATGTTCATTAATGATATATAAATTTATCTTAAAAAAAGCGTGAATCTCACGCGATGTGACAGTACAAAACAGTACTGCTGCTTCAGGATATTTTAGACATATGGACACATATTGGATAAATAGAGCAAAGCCACACCACACGCAACTTGATCTTCCATTGTTGTATGAATTTGATAAGAAGTGCGCAACATTTTCACGCTAGAAACATGTTTTATGCAGGAATGTAACTGATATGCTGCAACGGCTCCTTTAAATATGAGATCAATGTAGCAAGTTGTGACGCTCTCGCCGCAGGAGCTGAAGGCAGAGAGCGTTGTCGCCAGGGCGGCCAGAGCGACCTTGGACGCTCTCGCCGTTTTCGGTGTGAACGTACGGTTAGACGCATTCACGTCCGCGCAGTTTGTGAGATTAAAAGCCTTTGAATATTTTCCCAGACGCGTTTAGCTGCTAGAAGTTAGTCAGATAACGTTTTTATGTTCTTCTTAATTCCAACTGTGTAAATAATCATCGATAAGATGCTTATGATAAGCCGCTGTTTGTTTACCTTCAAGCTTTGCGTGTGCCTGTGAAACAGCCTGTGAGCGCCAGCACACGCACATATTATGAACATCTCGACATGCGAAAGTGATCATATGTTTTCATCGAAGTTGTTCACAATACTGATCATCCACAGAGTTTGTAATGTAGTCAAATGTTTACAAATAGAAGCTCAGCCGTTTAAAGCTCATTTGTGGTGAATGATGTCAGAATTTACCGGTATTTTGGAATGGATGTGTGAACGGTCTTTTCTGGGAAAATTCCGTAACGTCCTCGCCTGTGTGAACAGCGCTTTTTTGAAAATACCGGTTAAGTCGTTTCGGAAATTTTGCAGATATTTACCGGTATCACTGTGTGAAAGGGGCTATTGTCCTGCTGGAAGATGAACCGCCGCCCTAGTCTGAGGTCAAGAGCACTATGGAGCAGGTTTCATTCAGGATGTCTCATTCTTTCCCTCTATCCTGACTAGTCTTCCAGTCCCTGCTACTGAAAAACATCCCCACAGCATGATTCTGCCACCACCATGCTTTACTGTAGGGATGGTATTAACCTGGTGATGAGCAGTGTCTGGTTTTCTCCAAATTTAACACCTGGCATTCACTTCAAAGAGTTAAATTTTAGTCTCATCAGACCAGAGAATTTAGTTTCTTATGGTCGGAGAGTCCTTCAGATGCCTTTTGGCAAATTCCAGGTGGGGAGTGGCTTCCTTCTGGCCGCTCTACCATACACGCCTGATTGGTGGATTGCGGCACAAATGGTTGTTTTTCTGACTAAGGCCCATCTCCCCCGATCACTCAGCTTAGATAGCTGGCCAGCTCTAGGAAGAACCCTGGTGGTTCCAAACATCTTTCACTTACAGATAATGGAGGCCACTGTGCTCATTGGAACTTTCAGAGCAGCAGAAAGTTTTCTGTAATCTTCCCCAGCCTTGTGCCACGAGACAATCCTGTCTCTGAGGTCTACAGACAATTCCTTTGTCTTCATGCTTGGTTTGTGCTTTGACATGCACTGTCAACCCATAGACAGGTGTATGCTTTTTTTTAAATCACATCCAATCAACTGAGTTTACCACAGGTGAACTCCAATTAAGCTGCTGAAACATCTCATGAATGATCAGAGGAAGAATGTACCTGAGCTTAATTTAGAGCTTCACAGCAAAGGCTGGGAATACTTATGTACATATGATTTTTTAGGTTTTGTATTTTTAATAAATTTGCAACAATGTCAAAAAATCTTTTTTTCCACATTGTCATTATGTGGTATTGTGTGTATAATTTTGAGGAAATAAATGAATTAAATCCATTTTGGATTAAGGCTGTAACAAAAAATGTGGGGGAAAAGTGAAGAGCTATGAATACTTTCCGGATGCACTGTATATTATAGTTGGGGTTAGGTTTAGGTGTAGGGAATAAGTGTGTATTACGTTTTCTCACAGGACTGATGTTCCATTTACAGCTAATCAAGCATCACATCCACCACATACAGTTCACAGAACAGTCTTGAATTGTTTATCACACATTACATAATTCTGAATAACTGAATGACAGTTTTGTAAAAATGTCAGACAGAAACATAGTTTTCCATGTTAACATTTTATGTAATTGTAGATAAGTAATGATCTAATGACCCAATTGTTGTGTCTTTCTGCAGGAGAGGGCTTAAAAGTTTTGGCCGAAATTCACAATGGCTCTTCCCGAATAATCAAGCCAAAGTACTGCCTGTATGAAAAATACAGTTTCTTTGCCAAAGGAAGGAGAAAAATTCACACACATGACCTTCTTAAAGAGGTGGGGGAATCTGTTGAGCCAAACTCAAAGAAAACCATCACCACGGTGCTGACCATTCCTCCCAGCCTTACAGCCTCAATCCTAAACTGTAGGATCCTCAAGGTTGAGTACAGACTGAGGGTGAGTTACAGCTTTCTGTCAAAAATAAAAACTCACTAAATCAAATAGTTAAGTGTTTCAGTAAGCTGACCGGGGTGTCACTAGCCAATCTAGAGGCTTTGTACACTAGGCAGCTAAAGAAAATCACAAATTCAAGTTTTAGTGACACTGCTCATCCCCTTCACTCAGAGTTTCAGCTCCTTCCTTCCGGTCGCAGGTTTCTAGTATTAAGCTGCAGAACGAAACGATACAAAAATAGTTTCATACCAGCAGCCATTAGACATTTAAATAAGGCATAGACTAAAGCAGAGATGTTTTGGTGACTTGTATATTTTAGATCATTTTAAACATTTACTTGGGTGAGGGGGGGGGGGGGGGTGGACACTTAAAGTAACTATTTATTTATTCTTTATGTTTACGTTTTATGTCTTAATGTGCATTTGTTGTTGTTACTGTGTGAGTTCTTTTGTGTGGCACTGTTGTGAGATGAGGACTCTTGACTGCAAACCAAATCTACCTTCAGGTATAAAAAAAAGTAACTTGCCTACCTACCCATCTAAAGCAAAAGGTGCATTCAAATACATGCATGCATGCATACATGCATAAATACATGCATGGTGGCTCAGTGGTTAGCACTGTCACCTTACAGCAAAAAGGTATCTTGTTCATTTGTGTTTACATGGGTTTCCTCTGGGTGCTGTTGCTCCTATAGTCCAAAGACATGTGGTATAGGTGAATTTTGTAAACAAAATTGGCTGTAGTGTATGTGTGTGTGCGTGAATAAGAGAGTTTATAGGTGTTTCCCAGCACTGAAGTTAGTATACCTTTAGTTCTGCATAAAACATATGCCAGAGATGCCAAAGCAACACAGTAAAATCTTCAGAGTAAAATTTACTCAGTTCAGAGAACATTTGGTCCCTCTCTAAATTGAGCAAAATTTACTCAGCAGCAGAGTTAAAGTTAATGAAACAATGATGGGGTTATTTAAGTGATGATTGAGCACTGATGATGAACACCTGCTGTTAATAAGCAGAAACGGAGAAGAGAAACACAAAACTACATCTACCTTCAGTCACAGCCGTAGATTAAATAAACTGAAATAAAACACATTAAATCTCTCAAAGTCTCAGCAAAGGATCATTAAGTAACTCCACAAACAGCAGCTTTACTTATTAATAACCTGTTTGGCCTTATTTCTGCCACACTCTATAAAATTACATATAGTGATAATATAAAGAATTAACTTTTTTTTTTTACAACATTAAAAAAAAAAAAAAAACACTTTTTGTGTTTAAGCTGTCACCATTGAGGAGAACAGTAGCTGCTTTACTTGGACTCTGACTCGATTTCTGCTGTTAGTTTTTCTTTGTTTGCCAAATAGTGTATTGTGGCAAATATTGTATAAAGAGAGCAGGGGCCTGTTTCAGTAAGGAGGTTCAAACAACTCAGAGTTTAAACTTGAACTCTGAGTTGATTTACTGAGAGATTAAAAACTCAGAGTTTTCGGTTTCAGAACAGCTGATCTGAGTTGGGTCAATCAACTTCGAGTAGACCAACTCAGAGTTAAGCGCGCACACCGTGACTTTAAAAAGGCATTATCAATGGAGCGCAGACATTACGAGTGACTATGGCAACATCTTATAAAAGAGATCACAATTTCTTTCTCCAGCTGAACTTGATGTTCTCATGCAAAGTTATAGCAAATATGAGTGTGTATATATTTGAAAAGAAACAACCATCAGTGAAGAAGAGACAGTTAGCGTGGGAAAACAGCTGCTCAAGTTAATGCCTAATTTCACTTTTTAAGTATTTAAATATTTAAGTATAATAAAATAAGTAATGTAATTTGTGACGTTTATATATTTTTTTCTAAACTTTTTTATACATTTATTAGTTTTAAATGATTTAACAGTGCACTTGTGTGTCTGCCTTTTTTATTGATCAAGTGATAGAGGTTAATATAACATTTAGAAGGTAAGCAGTACTAAAAATAATTTTTAGAAAGAATAATAATCCCATTAATCTAGTTACATGCATGTCGAAGGTGAATTTAATTTAATTATTTATTAAAAAAAGGATAAGCTTTTCTCGTACAGTTCTTCTGTGTGTGACTAAAATGTAGGCAATAGCTATGTTTCCATCCAAATATATTACATAAATTTATGTGCAAAACTGGAATATTGCATAAAAGATGCGAATAAAATTCCATCCAACGAGTCAAAGAGAAAAAAATCTTCACTTCCTGATTAAACTGGCACCAAATATCAACAGTAAAAACAGAATTTACTGTGGTAGAAGAAGCTGCGTCAATATATTCTTTATTTAGCCTAATTAATGTACTTGCGCCTCGATGTCAGAAGACAATGCTGAAACACAATGAACACGTGGGGGCCATGAGACACGGAAACGCTTGACACGCACCAGACGTTCGGAGGTAATTAATAATATACACTAATACTGAAACAGTTAAGGCATTTTAGAATGACTAAAACAATATTTAAGACATTTTACAGTGTGCTCAGCTTGCTGGTTTGTCCATTTACACACATTTTCATTATCATATGATCATGATCTTTTTTTTAATGTACGTACTGTAATTTGTTTAGTAAAAGTGTTTCCATCGTAGTTTATGCGCACATATTCTATCGAATAAAAGTTTATCCTACTCAGTTATGCACGTTTTTTATGCATATTTTAAAAAGTTATGTGCATCATGACGTTTCTATCAATCGTTTTTATGCACGTATCCAAAATGAGCATTAAAATAGGTGGGTGGAAACGTAAGGCTAAGGCGAGAAATGCCGCTTCATCTTTAAAAAAGGGGAGGAGACAGACAGAAACTCTGAGTTTAGAGAATAAAACCTGCTTCTGACCAGGTTAGATTCACAGAGTAAGTTACCACAGTAACTGACTCTGAGTTAAAGTTACCTTTCTTTCAGAAACAGGCTTGACTTACCCTGCTTTCTCGAGTTTAACAAACCTGCCATTTTGAAAACCGAGAGTTTCTCTCATTTCAGGGTTAAAATACTCTGAGTTTTCAGTTAACCTCTTTTCTGAAACAGGCCCCAGGTGTTCTCTGGATAATTGACTCTGTGATGGGTTAGTCATTGGTCAAATCAGTAAAATTGGTTTTGACTTATTAAGTTTGAATAATGTATCACAAAAGGAGCACTGTATTAAGAAAATGGAGCTCACCAATACCTTTATCAGATCACATTGAACATCTCAAAGACTCAAAGCCCACAGACATAAAGAATCAGCGTTTGCTTCTCAACTATGGTGAGTTTTATTTTCCTACAGTGCATGCTGGGAACTATGGATGAATGTCGTATTATTGTCTTAACATGCACAGCAGCCAAAAAAAATCTCTAACCACTGTTGAGATAGATACACTGATTATTGATGTCTGTGTCTCTAAAGTGATTTAGATGCTCAATGTATTTTAATATAATACCACAGTTGAGATCCATTCTCTTGAATAACACTGAACTTTGTTTCTTATATGATAATCCATCATTTAATCATAATTTCTTGTACAGTTACTGTTATCAAGAGTAAGAATTCACACAGGATCAATCTACTTGATCACATGTGCACTTTTTATACTTGTTATTGCAAGTAAAGAAAATTAACATTAGAAATTGAGTCCAAGTAAATCAACCACTTTTCTCCATGATGGTGACATCAGGCGAAAAAAAAAAAAAACTTTTTTTTTTTTTTTTGTAAAATGTAAATAACTAAAACGGTTAATTCTCAATAAATCTCATATGGACTTTTGTGAACATCTGACTGAAATAAAGTCAATCAGGTAACCAATGAGCGAAGCTGCTGCTGCTTCTCTTCTGTTTCTGCTTATTAACAGCAGGTGTCATCATCAGTGCTCAATCATCATGTAATTAACCCCATCATTGTCTCATTAACTTTAACTCTGCTGCTGAGTAAATTTTGCTCAATTTAGAGAGGGACCAAATGTTATCTGAACTGAGTAAATTTTACTCTGAAGATTTTACTGTGAAGACAAGGTAAGTTTGTTTAAATAGCACAATTCATACACAATGGTAATTCAAAGTGCTTCATAAAAACAGTAATAAAAGAAAGAACAAAGAATAAAATGATTAAAAACAGATAATAACAGATTAAAATGTATTAAAACAATACTAGAGTAATTGGTGTAGTTCATTCTGCTGTGGCGACCCTGATAAATCAACAACAAAGCCGAAAGTGAGTGAGTGACATTATGCAATGCCTCAGACCAATCAAAAGTGGTTTATGCCAGTTTTGAGTAGGTGCTGATGCCACTGTCATAAGTGGCATCAAAGTATCATTAAATCCTTGACTCCAGAGATATTTCACCATGTCATTGATCACGTGTGTTTTAGGTTTATTTTACTTCATCTCTTTTTGTTTGTTTATTGCTTATTTGTTGTTTATTTTGTACATTTTCACACAGATGTATTCAGCTGCATGACTTATTTGCATCTACAGTATCTGTCATATGACATTTTTTAAATATTGAATAACTTAAATACCAGTCTATTTATTATACAATGTGATCATCATCGTTCGTTGACGTGGTCTGTCATGACTGCAGCAAAGAGCACCCAAACTGTCTGACTTGTAGGCTCTGTTTTCATCTCCATTACCCAAGTGTACTCGGCTCGTCTCATTGCCGTCTGCAGCCATGGTTCAAATCAAACACACTTAATGACACCTAAAGTGATGTGGACTGTGTGATCAAAGCTGGATCTTGATGTGTTTACAGTCCTTTAAAACAAGGCTCAAACAGAGATGACTTTATGTCTGTGCAGTCTCAATCAAATAATTGGTTTGTCATTTGTGTCTAGGTTTACCTGGATGTGAAATATGCATCAGATCCAGAGATCAAACTCCCAATAGTGGTTCTTCCTCTTCAGCCTGTATCAGGTGCAAATGGCTCTACAAAAAGTGACTTTGGAATTTGGAATCAGCCACAGCCAGGCAGTGCAGGCCCCAACCCGCCTCCTACAGCTCCATCAGCCCAATCACAAAATATCGCTGGACCACCTGGTCAGCTTGGTGCTCCTGATTACCCTGGACCTCCCGTTGGTCAGTTTTCACCTCCAAGTTACCCTGGACCTCCCCTGGATCAATTTGGGGCTCTTGCTTTTCCTGGACCTCCAGGTCAGTCCGCTCCCTCTTATTACAGTGGAGCTCCGGGCCAGTTTGGTCCTTCAGTTACACATCAGTCAAGCACATCAGCTCCACCTCCATATCAGGAGTTTAAGCTTTATCCACAGCTGCCAGATCAGCCAGAAAAATCTTGACAAAATCATTTTAGAATCACCTCATAGGCTCCTTTTATTGTTGTGTTGTTTAATAAAGTTTTAGTCGCACTGTAGTTTGGGGGACCATTTCTCCCTTTTAATGAACCAGTAACTATGACTGGCGTATTTGCTGAACGTCTGATTTGATGCTTATTTATAATTTGGTTGGTAATAAATTTAGGCACAGGGTAGAATTACAGGATCTCAAATGTGGTCATGCAGAATAATAAGGCATCAATAAAGTGCTAACAAACAGCCAATGTGCTAGTAATATGCATTGGTCCCTGAATGAATACAAGCCTTACTGCATCATATCAACAATGATCTATATTATTTTTTGCAAGTTACTAATTGACGCTTAATGAATAAATAAATCAGGCAATACGAATGTTATCACTCGATTGAATGGGCGTTTTCAGTGGTTATCAGTTGATCGATATGGGCCAGTAGAAGCCATCTGCGCCTACTAGTAGGCTTAGAAGGCTATTACTATCCATCCACTTGGTTAATCAGCTATAGATCACATTCAGCTGTGACCGGAAGTTAACGATTGAATTAAATTTCCCATTAATTGTATTTTGTTAACATCTACCCCTACACAACCCCAACTATCACAGTAATGTAAAAACTGGAGTCTCCAGGAGATCTGGAATCTTCTTTATTAGTGTAGCTGTTTAACCATGTGGATGGATGATAAAAGCCTTCTGACCCTACCAGTTGGCGCAGAATGCCCCTACTGGCCCATATCTATCAGCTGATAACCACTGACAGTGTCCATTTGTTTTGAAGTGAATTCAGTACTGTTCCTCAGTAGTGTTCTTTGCTGTATATATTTAAAGGGAAAATTATGTGTACCCTGTGTACCCAAATTGTTATAAAATGTAAGTGTTCTTAAAGGGATAGTACACCCCAAAATGAAAATGTTATTATATACTCACCCTTCTCTTTTTCCAAACCTGTTGAACACAAAATATATATTTAATATAGCTGTAACCATTGACTTTCAATAGTGTTAGTTTTTCCTACAATGGGAATCACGATACAGTTTTCCGGCTTGCTTGAAAATGTCATCTTTTGTGTTCAACAGAAGAAAGAAAAATTTAAAACCCCTTGTCGTGAGTAAATAGTAAATTTTCAGTTTTGGTTGAACAATCCCTTTAACAGGCAGACAAGCTTTTTATTGAATACTGTGACTCTATACTGCATGTTGACCAAGTAATGTATTTATGTATTCATGTATAAGTAAAATGAAATTGATTTTACTCACAAATGTTATAGGATCAGTCTTGTGAAAAAGGACAATTGAGGATTGTGTAGCTTATCATTGGATAAGTTCACACAGGTGTTGGCTACTCTTTAAAGCTACATATTACGATGTAACCTTAGGCCTTTTAGCAGTTAAAAAACAAACCAACGTAAAGTCTTGAAGAGGACCATTGCTTTAGTTGTGCTTGCCCTCTGTTCCTCAGCGTAAATGAATGTGTTTTGTGAAACCAGTAAAAACTATATAAACATTTCTTCCATTTTGTATGCCCTTATAAACATAATATAACATAAACATATTGAAAATACTATAATCCTTTTCAAATAAATATCAAATTTTAACCGATATAATCATTATCTAACTTTCAACTTCTGCTACTCTCACACTATACAGTGCGCACTCACCAGAATAGTTGGGGCTAGCTTTTCCAGTTTACAGATGATGTGACATGCGAAGGCTAATGACGCCTTCTGTTTTTCACAAGTCTGCCATTTTATTTTACAATATGAATCATTAAGCTTGTTTGAGATGTGAAAATCTATACAGAACTGTTGAACAGTGTTCTCTGCAAGTTCATGCTCATTGAGTCTGTGTGGTCTGCCTTGCTTGTTGCATGCTGGTATATGTGCTACATGTATATGAAATATGTTGATGCGTTTAACCTTTTCCTCAGTAAAACTGTAAAGAAGACTTTTAGTTGACACTGTGGTTCTTGTCGATTCAGAAAATGCAGTTCAGCAAAATTAATACATGGCACTCGATTATTCATTGTACTCCTGAAAATATTTTTGTGTAAGAAACTGGACATATTTTATGAATTATTTAATTTGTTAATTTACAACTTTTATAACAGGTTACAGCATTCATTGTTAGCACAATGAACAATACAACACACATTCTTTCTCTGTGTAAATAAACAGCATAAGCTAACGTGTACAGTTGTGTCTGCATATACGGCATTATGCAATAAGACATTCTTGCTCCAGACAGATGTGAAAGCATTCAGGACTATTTCATGGATAAATAAATGCTCAGTTTTTCATTCACTTTGTTCCTTCTGGCAATTTACATCGTTTCACTTTAGAAGACATCAATGTATCATCAGGAGCCACAGGTATAATTTTTTTTCTCTTATATATATATATATATATATATATATATATTTATTCATTCATTCATTCATTCATTTTTTTTTTCAGCTTAGTCCCTTTATTAATCTGGGGTCCCCACAGTGGAATGAACCGCAAATTTATCCAGCATATGTTTTATGCAGCAGATGCCCTTCCAGCTGCTACCCATCACAGGGAAACAGCCATACACTCCCATTCACACACATACGCTATGGACAATTTTAGCGTACGCAATTCACCTATAGTGCATGTTTTTGGACTGTGGGGGAAACCGGAGCACCTGGAGGAAATCCACTAGATATGGATTATTATACACACAGAAAGATCTACAGACTTTAGTTTTCAGTTTGTCTATTATATTAATAATTAAACATGCTAGTATGAAAATTAAATTAGACAGGGAGGGGAAAACAAACATTTAAGAGCTGAGTTTGGGAAATGGTGTCTCAAAGCACCCAAAGTGGTTCCTGAGCATTCTTAATAAGAGGGTTCCCCCTCTTATTGAACCATTAAACTCCCTCAGAGTCCTCTGAAAATACGCCTTAAGGTTTACCTTAAGGAACCTTTAATTTTTTACAGAGCTCATTAAATTTTAAATATAATTGAAAATAAAATTGATTAACTTTACAACATTTAAATTCAATCTATTTTATAAGCAAAAAGCACATTAATCCCATAATATCACACAATATCCTCTGATCTTGTAGGTGGTGGATGTCAGAGGCAAGTGGGAAACACAAACACTACACACAACACTGATAAAACAACCTTGAAACAAACAAAAGTGGCAAATTGATTGCACATTCATTGGCTCTAAATGTATTAGAAGTTCATTTAATGTAGCATTTTTAAACTGCATATTATCAATAGCAGGCAGTTAAGTGCACAATAAAAAAAACTGAAGCATAACATTGATTTATAGGGATGCATTGAAATGCTAATTTTTGGCTAATTCACAATCAAGCAGAAGACTGAAGACAATACCAAATACACTTATTCTGCTTTTGTTATTATTTTTTATTTTTAGAAAAGTCATGGCACGCTATGCCCCGTAATACCATACAATTTGGCCCTTCTTTTACGAAAGCTGCGGAAGTACGTGCTGATATTTTATCCAGAAAAAAAAATGATATGGACATTTTCTGAAGAATATAAATAAATATGTCTGTTTATTAGTTGAGTGCATAGTGTTGTTTCAACAATGTGTGTTTATATAATGTAAAAAATAGATATTTGTTTAGTGTACACTACAACCCCGCCAAAATGATCCAACAGACACAAAGCAGTATTTCCTGTCATCTGTTCCAACATATTTACTTGGAATAAGGTAATTTTTCCTTTAATAGGTACACATCCTGACAAAGTATCAACAACAAACAATAACTTGGCTTTTAGTTGATGATTTGGTATCAGAAGTGGTTTAAATAAAAGGTAAAGGCCTCTAGATTACGCTTATTTTACCAAATAAAACATGATCATGCCTTGATTTATAATTATTTAATTAGGACAGTAAGGTCTGACCTTGCTTAGACTAAAAGTCTTGTCACTTAACAGAAATAATATAGAATATAAAGTCATGATGCAGTGGAAAAAGAATTACTATAGTGTATGACTCCCATGAGCTTGGACAACTGCATCCATACATCTGTGCAATGACTCAGATAACTTATTAATAAAGTCACATGTAATGGCAAAGAAAGCGTTCTTGCAGGACTCCCAAAGCTCATCAAGATTATTTAGATTCATCTTTAATGCCTCCTCCATCTTACCCCAGACATGCTCAATAATGTTCATGTCTGATGACTGGGCTGGCCAATCCTGGAGCACCTTGACCTTCTTTGCTTTCATGAACTTTGATGTGGAGGCTGAAGTATAAAGGAGCGCTATCCTGGTGAAGAATTTGCCCTCTACTGTGGTTTGTAATGTAATGGGCAGCACAGATGTCTTGATACCTCAGGCTGTTGATGTTGCCATTCACTCTGCAGATCTCTAGCACACCCCCATACTGAATGTAACCCCAAACCATGATTTTTCTATGACCAAACTTGACTGATTTTGTATGAATCTTGGGTCCATGCGGGTTCCAGTTGGTCTTCTGTTTTATTTGTTATGATTGTGATGCAGTTCAACTAATGATTCATCTGAAAAATACACCTTCTGCTACTTTTCCAATTGATCAACTAGAAGTCAAGTTATTATTTGTTGCTCTTACAAGTGGGATCAATGACAAGTCTTTTGTCAGGTAGTGTATACAGTACATTCCTCCATGGGGATGTTGTTTTTCTCAATCAATGGATTTTTAAACTGAGTCAAGCATTACTCAGACCTGCAGCTACTCTCCACGGTGGATGTTGATTGTTTTTAAGCCTCCAGTGCCTAGACTGTAGACATTTGGCCAAAGGAAAAATGGTTGTGCACAGCTGAGCTTGGTTTATGTCAAGAATATATTTCCTTTCACTTCCGTCAATTGGTGAAGTTTGTGCCGCACTACTGTAACCACTGGCTTGCTTGGCTTTGGACTAGTTGAGCTTTCTATTCTGTATTTCTATGCCCTCGACTATGCCAAACATTCAAGATCACTTTTTCAGATCACTTTTGTTATCTAGACGGTTTCGTTTCATGCATGCTCTGGTGCCTGCTGCTCTTGAACCTTCCACCGCCGCCAAAACAGTCAGTGAGCTTGTAACTTTTCAATTGTTTTATACATTGCAGTCACATTAAAAAAAAGTTACCACTAGGATATTAGTGAAATACTGATGCTAGCAAATATTTATTCTATGCGTTTATATTTTATTTCCCAAATGGAAACGTACTGGTTCACTGAACAATGCACTCA